TCAACTTTGTGTCGTGTATAAATTTTGAACTGAGAAAAACTTTTGATCTCAAATCATGCGTATGATTTGGGACTAAATTGCTCCCCATTGAATTCAATTACCATCTTTTATCAAATCCTTTTGAATTACATCACAGTCTATGGGTAACTTGACTCCTTCTCCTACAGATTATTTGAGGAAAGTCTCTAACATTGGCCTCAACACTGCACCTTTCAATGTCACAGGACACCCAGCCCTATCAATCAACGCCGGCTTCAGTAACGGCTTACCAGTGGGTATGATGATTGTTGGAAGAAAGTTTGACGAGGCCTCTGTTTTGAATGTTGCCTACGCTTACGAGAAGATAAGGCACGCCGGAGATTAATACATGCTTAATTAAATGGGTTGCATGGAACAGTTATTTTCTTAGAAGTCAGGTTAAGGATTCACCCCTGTAAAGGCAAACAAACCTCGCGTATTCCATTCTGACTGGCCATTATTGCTTGCTGGAGTAATAAAGAGAAAAGGATAACATAAATATTCATATCGTTCACTCTCGTCCTTACCCAGAGAAAGGGAATTTTAACCTTGCCTGGCTGGGGTTGGGAATTTGAACAGGGACTGTCAAGTCTTTCCATCGGAGTAAACTTCTATTAATATTTTGATATGGATGTGTCTAAACGTAAAAAGCTCAATTTCGCGAGCAGATCGCTTAGACGAAATAGTCTACGACAAAGTCACGGTTATACAAATCCGTGGGTGGAGCATTCAAAGACAATTCTGCCTAGAAGGGGGAAGTGGGGGGGGGGAGAATTTGACCAATCTTCACAAGTTCGAATGCTCGGGAAGGGGGAATTTGGGGTTGTTGGAGGTTTAATTGATCAACGCATTAATTTAGAATAAACTCCAATTTTCTATGGTTGACAGACGATATGTTTTTGACAAATTGGGGCGTTTGTAGCTTTTTAGTTATTCAATAATCTTCCATTGATGAGGTAGATGTGGTTTCAAAAAAAAGGTTAATTACTATAGCATGCTTTGTGGCGTTGTTAGCTATATAGCCATAAAGTGGCTTTCGTTTGTCTGCCGAAAGGGATCCTTGATTGCATTACAAGATAATTTGGTTGTATCATCTGAGTTGATAATGTAAATCTGAGATGAAAAAGAGTTTGGAAACTCTCTAAGGTGACCAAGATACATTAACAACTCGGTTGATAAAACCGAGTTATCTTGAAATATCCCCATCATCGCAACACCACAGTTTCTTCAAAAAGTTATCCTTTTTGTCGCTTTACTTCGGGATGCGATTAGCGCAGAAACTCATGCTACCCTCATTCACGATAATCACGCGCGTTTTTCCCGGACGCGCGAGTCAGGCAATGTCGGCAATGTCGGCAATGTCGATGTTTTCGCCTTTAGTTCCCAGCTTCACCGAGAAATATCTGTCTATGTTGTAATCGGCTGTTTGGTATAAATGAATTTTGGTTTTATCACGAAATGCAGTCTGTGTATGTTTACAGTATTACTAGGCTGTGGTGTTAAAATGGACTGTAAGGACGCTGGTAATTACCCCGAAAGATGCTCAAAAGGTAGTTATATACTATACGGTGCTTTACTATATGCCAAAATATCTACGTCCTTGTTCTTGGGTCAGTCATTACCTATTGCCTGTTATCGTTTTGCTTTTGTCGTGGGTATTTGGTTTTGCATGAGGTTTTTGAATTTGTCGTGTGCTGTTCGGTTTTGCCATAAGCCCGTTGGTTTTGCTGTGAAGTGTTTGGTTTTGCCTTAAGCCCTTTGATTGCGCTGTGAGGTATTTGGTTTTGCCGTGAACTTTTTGGTTTTTACGTGAAGCATTTTGTTATGCCGTGAAACATTTATTATTGCCGTGATAGTTGTGGGCAACCTTAGGGACCTAGGTTACCAGTCACAGTCATTCGAATAAAAGCGGCGTTCAAAATTTCTCGCTTCTCTCGAAAGAAAAAGGACAGGGAAAAGTTACATATTAACTTCGCCAAAACACAACAATCAAAATAAGAGAATAAAAAAAGACAATCAATGGCAAAAAAAGAATCCCGCCATCTCATGCCAAACAAGCTAGACTACCGGACTTAAGTATTTTTCCTACTGAAATTTTATCCAGACATGTATCGTCTTCCATAACATGACAGATAAATGGTTAAAAAACATGATATGGTTGTGTTTTGTTAAAATTTAGAGGCCTCCCTAAGATCTCTGACCTAGACACATCTGCTGCAAGTGCTTTATCAACTAGACTCATGAACTTGAGTAATTTTCCAACTGAAATTTTATTCTGTTTTGCATCACAAGACAGACAAATGGTTAAAACAAAGC